TAAAAATAGATCATGCGCAGTCTACAAGAACGTTACGCTATGACAGTCATTTCCTTACTAAATGTAGGTAAGTAAACGAGTTATATTTGTATCAATATTATTTTGAACATATTTAAAAAAAAAACTATTTGTTTTTTTATTTATAAATTAAGCACGTATCTATTTAGAAACATTTCTTTTATCTTTCATGATGTTAATTATCTCTCCGTTTAGGGCCGAGGACCTGACCCTCAATGTCCACGATTCAAGCCCTAAGATCGGTTTCGTTTTATATATTTATTTTTGCATCAATATAGTTTGTTTTTTTAAATAGGTTCAATTCGTGTATGGATAAATCTATATGATATTTAAATATGTTATAATTACTTTTTTATTATAAACAATTCATTTACTTATACTACTTGATACGTTTTGATAATAAGATAAATTTTTTATTTCTTTGTTTTATCTTGTCATCTCTCCGTTTAGGGCCGAGCACCTGACCCTCAATGTGCGCGATTCAAGCCCTAAATCGTGTATACGAGTCAGCTCCGTATACTTCCGGGAGATTAAAAATAGAACGATAATGTCATTCTAAAAATAGACGGATGATCACATTCTTAAAATAGAACGATGATGTCATTCTTAAAATAGAATCCAATATGGCGTCGCGCATGCGCAGTCGTGATGCCAAAGAGACGCCTATACTACTCATAGAATTGTTTCTTTGATGAGTTTGATATCATCATATTTACTCTAAACTGATATGCAATCTACTTGTGATTATTAAATTTTAACAATAAATACTTTATCTTAATATTATGTTATTAAAAATATGACTGTGAATAGATATAATTCTAGATATATACAAATGAGTAATTGATAAAATATTTCTTGTGATTTATTGCATGCAGAATGCTCTGAGACAGACTCTTAGATATCTAATGAGCCTTACTCATTAGACATGTGCTTGAACAATTGCTTTCAATCAAAGCACGTGATTTGAATGTTGTGTAAGTTATGCGATTAAAGTTCCTCAAGCTGTTGTGTTTATAATTATGCCTATTTACTAAAATGTCGACATAAACCTTATCGCCATGTCAGTTACACTGTGTAGGACATGTTGTACACGATCAACAGTATAGAAACACATTATATACTATTTAATGTTTTCTAGCTTATGAAGCAGTGCTTAATACACAGCAAAACATCAAATAGTAAATAATTAGAGTGAAGTCACTGATGTCGATGTCAATTATTGTATTGAAAAGATATTTAGTCAAAAATAAATTAAAATTTATTTATTTACTTCATTTATTTGTTGTTGTTCATTTTTGTAACTTGGTTTGGAACTTGTTATAAACAAGAATAAAATACAATAGAATTATTTTTCTTTGATGTTTTATTTGCGTGCGTTTTTATTAACAAGGCAAAATAAGCCTGCAAAAAGTATAACTTGAATATTATTAATGAGAATATTTGATAGTTATGACGTCATGTTTCATATTGGCTGAGGCCCACTTACGTGCACAACGTTAACACAGTCGCATGACTTCACATAATATTTGTTTCCGTTTTCTTTTACAAAAAAGAAAAAAAAGAAAAAAAAAGAAAAACATTTTTTTCATTAAATTATTTCATGACAAAAGAAGAGTTCAGTTGGGAAATCGAGCATTAAGTAACATAAACTATTCATTATCTGCCTCAGAAGTCCCACTGAAATAGTAAATCCAATAAAATATATTAAATATCAAAAATGTGCACGGAAACACTACTCGTGACACCTTATCTATTGCACGACCCCGTTCGAGCCCCTTCAATGTCTTAAAACAAGGACTACACTTGCTTCCCTCGGAGTCGGAACACTGTAAAATAACAAAGACATCCAGCTTATTATGACAAAATAATAATTCTTTTAATACATTGAATACTGACTATAACAATGTTAACACATATTTCAGATTATTCTTATGACTTTAATGCAATTACGCTTTATATCAATTTGTAATCGTAGCAATGGTATGACTTAAGCTTTAAATAGGCATAAAGTAACGAAAATAATATCAATATATTCGGGGTATATCAGTTATGTTACCTTCACTCTCCGTATATCATAAGATTTGGGAATTGATACTGTACACGTATATATGAAGCAGACACATAATTGTTTTCAGAACCATATTCTAATAGCTCAACATCTTACCACAAACAGTATGTGATGTCACTATTCCCTATAACACACGTAATTAACAGGTATTCACGTATTGTTAATGGTTAGTCTATAGTATTTAATGGTTACTTTGTTAGTTATTTAGGTTATTTCTTTTGAATAAAGAAATTATGCAAAACTTTCATTACTCATAAAGTTACCTCGTTATAAATAGATCCATTTGTGGCATCGCTACTGGGAATCGATGGTGATTTCCCGCCATTTTGATGCCTCATGAACTGTATGACCGACTTCCGGCGGTTTAAAACACGACTTTGTACGTTCACATATGCGAACTCTAACAATCCAAGGAAGACAAAAGTAAGACATGCAGCCATCCAAACATCTATTGCCTGAAAAGTTAACTTAATCGTTACATTTAATATTTCCGGGATAAATAATTTCAATATATTTACATGTAAACACTTTCGAAAAACTGCGACTTTCATTTATTTCCCCTTTAACATTGTTCTCAATGAAGGGGGTGGGGACAGGGGAGTTCTCATCTACCCTGATTTTATGTCAAGTATTATACGGTATCGTGATTTAAATAAAATATCAATTCAATGACATTATTTCATCATTTGGTATGATCTGAATAATCAATCAAATTTGGAATATTCATTTCATGTATGTATAATGAAAATATCTGATATTAATTTGTATAATTATGTTTCAATGATCGAACGAAAATAATGATTAATAAAAAAGACACTTGACCTACCTTGATATATGAGACACGTGGAAGACACTTGACCTACCTTGATATGTGAGACACGTGGAAGACACTTGACCTACCTTGATATGTGAGACACGTGGAAGACACTTGACCTACCTTGATATATGAGACACGTGAAAGACACTTGACCTACCTTGATATATGAGACACGTGAAAGACACTTGACCTACCTTGATATATGAGACACGTGAAAGACACTTGACCTACCTTGATATATGAGACACGTGGAAGACACTTGACCTACCTTGATATATGAGACACGTGAAAGACACTTGACCTACCTTGATATATGAGAACACGTGAAAGACACTTGACCTACCTTGATATATGAGACACGTGGAAGACACTTGACCTGCCTTGATATATGAGACACGTGAAAGACACTTGACCTACCTTGATATATGAGACACGTGAAAGACACTTGACCTACCTTGATATATGAGACACGTGAAAGACACTTGACCTACCTTGATATATGAGACACGTGAAAGACACTTGACCTACCTTGATATATGAGACACGTGAAGACACTTGACCTGCCTTGATATGTGAGACACGTGAAAGACACTTGACCTACCTGAGACACGTGAAAGACACTTGACCTACCTTGATATATGAGACACGTGGACTTGACCTGCCTTGATATGTGAGACACGTGGAAGTCACTTGACCTACCTTGATATATGAGACACGTGAAAGACACTTGACTACTTGATATATGAGACACGTGGAAGACACTTGACCTACCTTGATATAAATGAGACACGTGGAAGACACTTGACCTACCTTGATATATGAGACACGTGGAAGACACTTGACCTACCTTGATATTGAGACACGTGGAACACTTGACCTACCTTGATATGTGAGACACGTGGAAGACACTTGACTACCTTGATATATGAGACACGTGAAGACACTTGACTACCTTGATATTGACCGTACACTTGACCTGATATGTGAGACACGTGGAAGACACTTGACCTACCTTGAATATGTGAGAGGGGACACGTGGAAGACACTTGACCTACCTTGATATATGAAACTCGTGGAAGACACTTGACCTACCTTGATGAAACTCGTGGACCTACTTGATATGTGAACACGTGGAAACACTTGACCACCTTGACCTGGAAGACACTTGACCTATTAATATGTGAGACACGTGGAAGACACTTGATATGTGAGACACGTGAAGACACTTGACCTACCTTGATATATGAAACTTGACCTACCTTGATATGTGAGACACGTGGAAGACACTTGACCTACCTTGATATGTGAGACACATGGAAGACACTTGACCTATCTTAATATGTGAGACTTGGAAGACACTTGACCTACCTTGATATATGAGACACGTGGAAGACACTTGACCTACCTTGATATATGAGACACGTGGAGTCACTTGACTACCTTGATATATGAGACACGTGAAAGACACTTGACCTGCCTTGATAAATGAGACACGTGGAAGACACTTGACCTACCTTGATATATGAGACACGTGGAAGACACTTGACCTACCTTGATATATGAGACACGTGGAAGACACTTGACCTACTTGATATGTGAGACACTTGGAAGACACTTGACACCTTATATTGAGACACGTGAAGACACTTGATATATGAGACACGTGGACAGACTACTATGACCTACCTTGACCTACTTTGTGTGGACACGTGGAAGACACTTGACCTACCTTGATATGTGAGACACGTGGAAGACACTTGACCAACCTTGATATGTGAGACACGTGGAAGACACTTGACCTACTTTGATAAATGAGATACCTGGAAGGCACTTGACCTACCTTGATATATAAGACACGTGGAAGACACTTGACCTACCTTGATATATGAGACACGTGAAAGACACTTGATCTGCCTTGATATGTGGGACACGTGGAAGACACTTGGCCTACCTTAATAAATGAGGCTCGTGGAAGACACTTGACCTGCCTTGATATATAAGACACGTGGAAGACACTGGACCTACCTTGATATGTGGGGCACGTGAAAGACACTTGACCTACTTTGATAAATGAGATACCTGGAAGGCACTTGACCTACCTTGATAAATGAACACGTGGAAGACACTTGACCTGCCTTGATATGTGAGACACGTGAAAGACACTTGACCTACCTTGATAAATGAGACACGTGAAAGACACTTGACCAACCTTGATATGTGGGACACGTGGAAGACACTTGACCTGCCTTGATATATGAGACACGTGGAAGACACTTGACCTACCTTGATATGTGGGACACGTGAAAGACACTTGGCCTACCTTGATATGTGAGACACGTGGAAGACACTTGACCTGCCTTGATATATGAGACACGTGGAAGACACTTGACCTACCTTGATATGTGAGACACGTGGAAGACACTTGACCTATCTTAATATGTGAGACACGTGGAAGACACTTGACCTACTTTGATAAATGAGACACGTGGAAGACATTTGACCTACCTTGATATGTGAGACATGTGGAAGACACTTGACCTACCTTGATATGTGAGACACGTGAAAGACACTTGACCTGCCTTGATATATGAGACACGTGGAAGACACTTGACCTACCTTGATTTGTGAGACACGTGGAAGAAACTTGACCTATCTTAATATGTGAGACACGTGGAAGACACTTGACCTACTTTGATAAATGAGACACGTGGAAGACATTTGACCTACCTTGATATGTGAGACATGTGGAAGACACTTGACCTACCTTGATATGTGGGACACGTGGAAGACATTTGACCTACTTTGATAAATGAGACACGTGGAAGACACTTGACCTACCTTGATCTGTGAGACACCTGGAAGGCACTTGACCTACCTTGATATATAAGACACGTGGAAGACACTTGACCTACCTTGATATATGAGACACGTGGAAGACACTTGACCTACCTTGATATATGAGACACGTGGAAGACACTTGACCTACCTTGATATATAAGACACGTGGAAGACACTTGACCTACCTTGATATATGAGACACGTGGAAGACACTTGACCTACCTTGATATATGAGACACGTGGAAGACACTTGACCTACCTTGATATATGAAACACGTGGAAGATTTGAACGAGCTCCGGAACTCTGTGTAGTCATAGTTAGTACTGTCAATAAAGCTAACGACACACGACCTGGCACAGAGGTACAATCTAGCCAAAAATTCACCCAGGAAAGGATGACAATAAGAATGCTGGGTACGTAGATCTGGATGATGTGGTATGCGTAGTTCCTCTCTAACACAAACTTCAGTCCAACACAAGGGAATGCAACTATAAAGTAACATTAATATATAATTGTCGGTATATACATGTATAATACAAATATAAAGAAATAAAGTATGATATACAATTTATATAATGTGGATACTAACGAATAAATGAGTGCAGTTTATCAATGATAAATGTAAACAGACTTGCTCTGTAACATAATATAATGCTATATACCGTTTGGTATGTTGATGTTTTCAAGAATAGAATGTGCATATGTATAATACCAAACGTTTTACATATTATTAAATTTGTATATGCAACAACTATGGCAACAACTTGGGGGATAGTTCATGACATTATCAACAAACCAAATTATGCGTTAAATCTTCTAATCGTTAGATGGCGTTGGAAAGACACACTCGAATACTTTAATAGAACCGACGACAAAAAGTAAAAAGTTTTTTGTCTAAAGAAACAACAGCCTGTCGCTAACAGAAGTTCAACCCAGATATAATATGTTTTTTATTGTGTTTCTAAGAGGACTTGTTATTTTTTACACATGAGATAAAACATAACAAAATATTTTTCCCATGTGAGAATATGTGCATATTAATATAGCTTTATTGGCTAACTAAATCATCTGTATACGGAGGCACAGATGTAGTTGTATATAACGGTTGCATGCGGTGGTAATTATAATGTATCCCTTACATGCGGAGGTAATTACGGACATCGTGGTTTCGCGCTGTCGCTCTAAGGGCGAAATCGCAAAAACACGATGCATTGACGCGAAAACACGATACAAGATAGCGAAAACACGATGCGAAAAATATCGCGTTTTCGCGCTATAAATATCGTGGTTTCGCCTTTTCGCCCTTGATCTTCCATCGTGTTTTCGGGTTTTCACCTTCGCTGTCAGTAGGGCGAAAACACGATATTAATAGCGCGAAAACGCGATATTTTTCGTATCGTGTTTTCGCGATCTTGTATCGTGTTTTCGCCCTTTTGACCGCGAAGGCGAAAACACGATGGGAGTTCAAGAACGAAAACGCGAAACAACGATATTTTAATAAAAAGCGATATAAAAACATTGTGTTTTCGCGCTTTCGCCTTTGCGGTTGAGAGGGCGAAAACGCGAAAACACGATATGAGGTCGCGAGAACACGATGCGAAAAATATCGCGCTTTCGCGCTAGTTATATCGTGTTTTCGCGTTTTCGCCCTACTGACCGTGAAGGCGAAAACACGATGAGAGATCGATGGCGAAAACTCGAAACCACGATATTAATAGCGCGAAAACGCGATATTTTTCGCATCGTGTTTTCGCGATCTCTTATCGCGTTTTTGCTTAATCGCTTCGTGTTTTCGCGTCAAGGTATCGTGTTTTCGCGATTTTGGCCTTAGGACGACAGCGCGAAACCGCGCTGGCCCTAACGGAACACCGTAGGTAATTATAATGTATTCCTTGCAAACGGAGGTAATTATAATGTATCCCTTGCATGCGGAGGTAATTATAATGTATCCCTTGCATGCGGAGGTAATTATAATGTATCCCTTGCATGCGGAGGTAATTATAATGTATCCCTTGCATGCGGAGGTAATTATAATGTATCCCTTGCATGCGGAGGTAATCATAACGTATCCCTTGCATGCGGAGGTAATTATAATGTATCCCTTGCATGCGGAGGTAATCATGATGTATCCATTGTTTGCGGAGGTAATTATAATGTATCCCTTTCATGCGGAGGTATTTATGATGTATCCCTTGCATGCGGAGGTAATTATGATGTATCCCTGTTTTCATGTGATGGTAATCATGCACCATGCAGATGTACTTATCAGACACTAACGTTCAGACATACTTCCAAAGTACTCCTTGTCACAGTTATATGTCTCCGTGGTTACCAGGTCAAACTGTGGAAATTTTATACCTTTTCCCATTGTTAGGGGCTCGTTACTCCATTTGAAACGAAGATTTTTAGTTGTCTGGCCATCTGAAATATAGATAAAAGTCAATGATTTGATGAATCGTTTGTACGTGTAGAAATAATAAATTTCAAAGCACATGATTAGTAATTACAAGGTCAAGATGATAAAACCCAATGTTTCAAGTATTTTTTTTATGTGAGTCATAACAAGGTGATCGTATTTTTTTTAATTTTACAGTACGATCATGCATGTAAGTATATTATACAGACAAAATATAAACTGACTTTACTAGAAATGTAATGCATCTTTAAAGGCCCGATATGTTAAATGCGTGACATTTATGATATTATTCATACTTTTGTGTCAATGGTTCCTGTGAATTATTTATTACTCACTTTTATAATATAATTGTAACAATGTCGACTCGTGTGCATTTATTTGCATATAAATAAGTCCTCCATTATGTAGTAAGGCATTAATTTATCATAATCCAATGATTACAATATCCTGTCTCACGCTGAAAATATTGTATTCTAACATTTAACTCTTCCGACAGTGACTTTATTAACATAATTACATTATATACATGTAGATGTTTTGATGTGGAAACATAACTTACAACTTTCGAACTCCATTTTGCAAATTTGTGTATCGAATGGGTACCTTCTGAGGTTCATGACACAAAAGAAAGAACCGGTTACCCTAAAATAAAGGAAACTCGTTATAACCGGTCATAGTTAAATATCTTTATGCTGTGAACCCTTGTGGCTTTTGGACAAAGAGCAAAACGGAAAAAAACTCTTTTAAAAAAGCTTCGGTTTTTTGAATACCTTCTAAATTAATTTTCAAACATCCAAGAATATGTTAAATATGTACTGCAAATGTTCAAACGCATTACATGTAATCCTTAAAATATATGCATTCATTATTATTGAAAAATTTGGCTTAGACTTTATAGAAAAAAATTCTAATTACCTTCCTTTATTTACATAAAATGTTAATTCGATAATGTCTTTACAAATAAAGCTTTTTGGAACTTACTATATTGATAAATCTTCATTTGAACATCATATTTATCATATAAAACCATAAAAAAAATTGAGCTATAGGATCTTTAAAAACTGATTTTTCCCCAAATGAATAGCATAAACCTTTCAAAGTCCATCTTGGAACAGGACTTATTTAATGATGGATTTAGTAAGAATGGTACATTGATACGACACTCTAAATACCCATGTGAGACAAATTAAAATATATGGCAAACTTGAATGATTTAACAAGTTCTATACACAAGTATCCGAGTCGTTTATACATTGGTAAAATTGGTTATTAGTTTGATTCTAGTGGCGATACTTGGTAATTATAAATTAATTATTTACGTTGCAATACAATGACCAATTAATAAGTGACCCTAACTCATCAGCTGTAAATAGGAGTTTATTTGGACATGCTTAGGGCATATTTGTACATAAAGTTTTAGGGGAACTAATATATTCTGGAATACTCTCTTCCCAACATGTGAATTTAAACAAATAATTCAACTTTCAGCCGTGGTGAAAATTTAAAAAGATGTAGTTTCAAACCTGGCACTGTACTGTACAGTTCCATCTGGATAAATATGGACCATTTTATTTGGCACAGTAACTTCATGAAATTCTGAAAACTTTTCTGTTATTATGAAGAGGTCTGGAACCCAAATAGAATCGAAAAGAGACGGGTCAAGTTCGAGTCTGGTGAGGTTTAAAACATCATCATAGACCAGCCGTTCGTCTTTCCATCTCTCACGTAGAAACATACTTAACGAGAAATCCTGTAATATATTATAGATATTATATGACCTCACATGAATGTGACAAAGTTGTTTACAAATTTTTCATCTAAATAAATACAAATTAATCAAAAGATCATAAAAATGGCAAACTTCGTCACTTTTCTTTCTAATATTTTTTAAAAAAAGTATCGTGCACTCGGTCATAAATGACGCGTGTTTTATAAGAGATAAGTATCTAATACATGTATACCAAAAATGGCCAATTTAATATGATAACTTCCTTATATTTATTAGAAATCTAAAAATAACGACACAATATCTTGCAAAAATATCTATAATATTGTGTTATTAGAATTTGAAAGTTGGGCATAAAATTATGTTATGAATGAAAATCACGATTTTATTTTACATTTAATTTATTCGTCTCATAAAATCACCATTGAAAGAATATGAAACCACAAGTATGAACATGTATTTTTCTAAACTACAAACACAAAATACAATCAATTCTATGTCAGAAAAAAATAAAGTTTCCACTCTACAAAATAAAATGTATATCAACGTTGTGCATAATTAACATAAAATAAAATCACTGCGATAAATATTATTATCATATTTGAAAATATGAGTAATACTTGCTACTGATCTATAGTAAATTAAAATTCAGTCATGTAGAAAATTGTGTATCTAATTCTATACTTTCTTATAATATTTGTTAGGTTTTATGATATGACCACCACCCTGCCCCAATCACCATTAGTGGGCACTATAATGAACCGAAAAATTGACAACATAGATCAGTTATATTGTATAGAAACAAATACATAGCATTCAGCTAACAAATCACACCAGCGAAATGATTGTTTCTACTCAAAATGTTAGAAATATGTATAAAATTGTTACCCTACCCCAGTCATTGACCCTTTTCGTACTCAAAGAGCCTTATTCAAAATAAAGGTTCTCTCAAAAGTATATTGGTTGATCTTGTTAATTATTAAATGCCTTACACATGTACCGTGTAGTTCTGATTTAGACTTTGAAACTTTGAAACTTAACTGGTGCCATAACTGTTATTAGATTTAGCAAATAAATACCTATGATATTATATAATGAAAATAATTCTTTGCTCTTTGAGAGATAGCTAAATATATTTAAAACGAAAAAGAAAGAAAGAAAAAATTAACCCTTCCTGTCTGCAGTTGACAGTAATTCTAGCCTCTGAATATTCTTCAAAGCAGAGGTAATGCGTTAGGAGGGTGATATACCAAAAAAAAAAATGGGTCATCCTAATATACCCTAACAGTACCATATATCGCATCTATCTCAACATATTCGTGAAACATCGACATGTTCCGTTACTGTCTGGTTTTATGTATGTCAATAACAAAATCAATTTTAACTGAACACCTAACACGTTAATCTAGTTTTACAATCTGTGTTTATGAAAAAAAAATACAAAACTAAAAAGGCTTCGTCAATCTTTGATGTGTAATGCAATGTAATGTCAAAAGCACTCTGCGGCTGGGTTAAAATACATAATTTTAAAGGGACTCCACTGAGGTTTTTTGACGTGATGGAACTGAAAATATTTTTTCCAGATAAACGTACCATTTGATGTAGGTTTAGACCACTGTAACACCGCACTTTGGGGTCGGACTCCATAGTGCGTTACGCACTTTGTGGTCCAATTTCGACCCCAAAGTGCGTTAAACAGGTACATATGCATTTTTCAACATCAAGCAAACGACCGCACTTTGGGGTCAGAGAAAATTTATGTTCATTATGTTTTAAATAATATAGTGTAGTCAAAGCCAATGGTAAACAAAAATCAAGGTATTAAATAGACACAAAACATGTGCCCTGAATCAATAGGGATTTAAATGGTCTTGATTAGTAAGTGAAGAACTTTCACAAAATAAATCACCAAAAAAAGAATTTGTATAAATGCCTCACGCCTCCAGATTCACGCTAATTTTCATGAAAATTTTGAAAATTTATTTGAATGTATAATATTGTGGAATAACCAAAAGGAAGCAATTTGCACATTATCAATGGCACTTATAACTTACGTAAATTACCAAAAAGTTGTCAAAATATGCATAAATAGCCCTTAATGAGTTAGTAACGCAGTAGGGATATAGTTGTAAATATTGAAAACTTAGTCATTGACCGCACATAACATGTAAAATATTACTTGAATCTTGAATCATTTTACATTTCCTATAATCGTAGTACATATTTCTCAAGTTTGATTTTATTGAAATATTTTGACTCATCTTGATTTTTTAAGCTTAAAATATGTTTTTCTAAAATTTTCCATTTATTTTAAAAGAATGTACACCTTTCATTAACTCCATTGTTTTTAGCTAAATGCATCATTTTCCCGTTTGTTATTTACACATTTTACAGAAATATGATAGTCTTTGCATAGACAAGGGTATAAATTCTGGGTAATCTTAGTAAGACATTTCAGTAAAAAATTTGCCTGATAATATGTTAAAATAGCCATTCATTTAGCTAAATGTGACACATAAGAAACTTGACTAGGTGTAGATGCGGTTTTAAGTAGTAGTCCGTACAGGCAGTCAAAAAATATCAACTATTTAAGTAGTCGCACATTAAGAGCGGGCTTCAGAATAATGTAAAATTCTCACTGGGGTATAGAGGGGATTGTGGGGTATCGATCTCCCCGAGGTTTAAAAATAACATTTTAAAGGCCCATTATGCTTTTATTTGTTTTTCTTCAGCTTTTTTATTTTGATGTTCTTTTATATTATCAAAAAAATACACATTGGCCAATTACCTGAACCATCTTTTTCATCTGTTGCTTTTTGACAATGATGAGTACAGTACTGTTATAGTGATAAGTAGTTTACATGTTTTATATGGAAGTCAAATACTACATTGTTTTGACTACTTTTATGACAAATAATTTCACATTTATCGCTACTTTATTCAGGTAACAAGCATCTTACATTTCTCTGATTCCATTATTTTAACATTATAAAATTCATCTTTCTAAAGAAGTATGTAAGATTTCCCATTAAAAAAAGCATCTGGCGAACGGTTGTTACGGAGGGGGGAAAATATTAACTGCATTTTATTTCATTCCTTACATATTTAAAATGGAGCTCAACATGGCACCAAAAGTTATCAAGTAAATGACTGACAGAACGGGATATTTTTCGCAGCATCTTTAAACTTTAGGAATACACGATTTCTGTACTAAAATATTTTGAACGGTGGCAAAAAAGTGACATTTGCAACTTTTTTTTTTGTTTTTGATACTTTTTTTTTTTCGTACATATTTTTTGTTGTTTTTTTTTGTTTAGCATACATTTTTTTTTTAGTTTTGAATACATACTTTTTTTTAGTTTTGCATACATATTCTTTTTAAGTTTTGCATACATAGTCTTTTTAAGTTTTCCATACATATTTTATTTTAGTTTTGCATACATATTTTATTTGAGTTTTTGGTACATATTTTATTTTTGTTTTGTTTTTTACTTTTTTTCGTACATAATTTTACATGACGCCATTTGCAAAGTAGAGGTTTGGATAATTACGCCATTTGTAAAACACCATTTTCAAACACTTCGCCATCTGTAAATTACAGTACCCCATTTGCAAACGCCATTTGCAAATACCAACATTTTCATTTTTGGAGGTATCAAAAAGATAATAACACTTTTTAGTATATATATATATATATATATATATATATATATATATATATATATATATATATATATATATATATATATATATATATATATATATATATATATATATATATATATATATATATATATATATATATATATATATATATATATACAGAGACATAGATATTATCTATGTCTCTGATATATACATGTACATGTATATACATGTATATATATATATTTTTCTAAATCAGTGGAATATAAGGACCTATTTAGATCTTTTACTGTGCATTATTGTAATACACCAGTCATTTGTAACCACCTCCCTTGCCCCCGGGGGAGTGCGGGTTAAAATGTCTGCGCTGTTCCGGGGCATAAGGCAGGAATGTTATTATCTGAATATCCCCCGCAGGGCGAAGATTTTACCAGTGGTCGGCTTGGTTTAAAGTCAATGCCCCTCCCCCCGCTATACTCAGGGGGTGGGGTTGAGTGGTGCATATTCATTCACCAATCAACAGCCCTTTCCAAATAGACACTAATATAATAGTAGATAATAATTAAAAAAAAAGACACTAATTATATTAAATACATATGATTTAAAAATGGGCCGAAAAAGGTCGGCCGAAACCAGACTTGCGCGGCCAAAAACGACTGGGCCGATTCCAAAAAATGGGCCGAAATATGACCAAACTACTGTGCTAGTTTTATACTCAACTATGGGCTGTTATGAGATGTGAAGGCTGTTTTGATTGGCTAAAATATGTACGAAAAACCAAAATAAAAAATGTACGAAAAACTTTAATAAAATATGAATGCAAAACTCAAAAAAAAAAATATATGAATGCAAAACTTAAATAAAAATATGTATGCAAAACTTAAATAAAAATAAATGCAAATGTCACTTTTATGCCACCGTAATTTTGTTATATGAACAAATTATTATTATTATTGGATATTTTAAGTGGTAAAATTGATGAAACTTTTATCACTTAAGCATCATCAAAGTATTGACCGCCATCTTGAACTCCACCTCAAATATTTCAATGTCGAAGATCGAAAATAAGTCAGTTCTCAGTATTTAAGCAGAACTCAGATTACACCTTTAGATCTCTGGAACCCAAAGTGCGTTGATATGTAGCATATTAACGCACTTTGGGGTCAATTTCTCGATTTTGACCCCAAAGTGCGCTTGACCCCAAAGTGCGGTGTTACAGACCACTTATCTTTGTGCAAAATTTCAGATCATTCGCGAACTTCGTTTTTTTTGGAATAATTATTTAAATTGTAAAAAAATGACCCAAAATGAAAAGCGTTTAAACGCTTTTCACTCAAATCGGGCTAAGAAAAGCATAAAAATACGATTTTCAATTTATT